ACATTGCATTACATTTACATTCCTTCAGGGAAGCTCTTCTAAGACAAAGATCTCCTCCTGCTAGGAGATCCGCTCAAAGGCATGTTTTTAATATAAGGACATACTTCTCCTTTCCTTAGTCCATAAACAATCATCTTCGATTTGCTAACTTTTTTTTTTTTTGCTTTTTGCTTTTTGGGTCACACCCGGTGATGCTCAGGGGTTACTCCTGGTTCATGCACTCAGGAATTACTCCTGGCCGTGCTCAGGGGACCATATGGTTTGCTGGGGATCGAACCCGGGTCAGGCTGTGTGCAAGGAAAACACCCTACCGCTGTGCTATCACTCCAGCCCCCTGTGATTTGCTTACTTCTTAATAATCTTTCTAGTCATTTGGTATGTACACAGTAAGACATATATTCATCTTCTAGTAGCTCTGCTGGGGACATCTTTTTTTTTTGCTTTTTGGGTCACACCTGGCAATGCTCAGGGGTTACTCCTGGCTTTGCACTCAGGAAATCACTCCTGGCAGTGCGCAGGGGACTATATGGGATGCTGGGAATCGAACCCAGGGGTTGGCAGCATGCAAGGCAAACACCCTACCCGCTGTGCTATCACTCCAGCCCCAAAGATCTCAGACCATAGTGCTCAGGCTAGGGTCCTTGTCTAAGTCACTTCTCTTTGGATCATTACAAAATTTGTCTATGACTGTGATTTAGCTTATTATAAGTTTTATGGTACTTAACCTGTCCAATTTTGATGCCAGGGTAGCTTACAGCTTACCCTGGGTACATATAGTCCCTTTTTCGGGGCTGTTGTCTGCTTTTGGGGTGTTAGGAACTAAAGGGCAACTGAGGCTTAGGTCGAGTAAATATGACAGATACCCAGGAGTAAATATTATCTGGAGTCAATTAACTCCCACGTTATAAAAGAATAGCATTAACTGTCTTCCTGTGTCTATAGAGAAAGGACATTGCTCTAAAGTAAACTATACAAAGGACATAAGGGAAAGAGAAAAGCAATATATCACTTACAAATACAAAACCCAGAGTCCTTAGAAGGATCTGACCTTACAAGTTACAGGGCCTGATTTGGGGATATATGTGATTAACAGATAAGGAAAGAGAGCACAGAGGAGAAGTTAAAGATAAACACAGAGAAATAAGAGTGTCTCAGGAGCACTGTGATGGGTGTAACCCAATAAACCTAAGTTCCTTGTAGCAGAGGAGAAAGCACAAACCAATGTTATCCTACATTTGTTATCCCACTGAGGTGCTTGACGGGGCATATATTCTCTTGGTTGTGGTGCTCTTGCATATTCCTATTTAGACACTGGGGTTATACATACTAGTCAAAGTGCTCACATACACCTAGCTATGGTGCGCAGAGCTCACAACTCTGTTGTCATGAAGGGCATTCCAAACAGCAGAGCTGTCAGATTGTGCTCAGCATATGCATTCGACACTGGAGATCAAAAGCTCTTGGTCTCACTCTTGCAAGGCTAGAATTTTTTTGCCAGTAAGGTCTCCCCAGACCTTCCCTTACCCTCCCTTAGAAGCCATTTACGTTCTTGTTTTAATCAAATTTTACCTGAATAGAGCTATTGAGGTTGAGGAAGAAGACCTCTGGGATTTTCTTGGAGTCAGTCTCCAAAAGATATACCAAAATGAAAAACATTTATTGATCATTTGGGATGAACTGGTTTTAAGGGCCTTTGATATGTAATTCTATTAAATTCTCCTAACAGTCTATATAAGTTATTATTTAGTTATTATTCCCATATTATAGATAAGAAATTAGAGATCCAGAGAGTAAACTTGTATTGGAAAAATACCCAGAGTGAACACCTCTGTCAGGGTTCCTGCCCCCAGTATGTCCTGAGCTTTGGGGATTCTGTATCCCCATTTTCCTTTCATCGTTTCCCCTTTGGGCTGGAGCGATAGCACAGCAGTAGGGCATTTGCCTTGCGCACAGCCAGCCCGGCCGAGCAGGGTTCGATTCCTCTACCCCTCTTGGAGAGCCCAGCAAGCTACCGAGAGTATCTCGCCCACACAGCAAAGCCTGGCAAGCTATCCGTGACGTATTCGATATGCCAAGCACAGTAACAACAAGTCTCAAAATGAAGACGTTACTGGGCCCGCTCGAGCAAATCGATGAACAATGGGAGGACAGTGACAGTAACATTTCCCCTTTCTGTTGCTTACTCCTTACTCCAGGATTTCATTGATATATATTTTTTATATAATGAACTTATTTTTTGTTGTTGTTGCAGTAACGTTATAACATTTTGAGTTTAGGTATGTATCACTGGAAATTTACATGTGTATATTCTTCATCAATTCAGGACCACATATTCCACAATTGTCCACTTTGTTGTGATTTGCCCACACCCATTCCCTTGATTGATTGATACACAGTCCAAAAATTATTTTTTGCCTTTATGTCATCTATATGCCACCTAGGAAGGGAATTTTGTGGTGTTTGGTCTTCCCCAGTTACTCTCTTTGTGTTGACCCTGGGATCCCCCACCTCTCCATATGGATACCAGAGAAACTGTCCTTCTTGGGATTTTGCTTTGGGTCTGACATCTACTCCCTGTAAACTGCCAGAATGCCTAATAACTACCAAATGAAGTTTAGAGACCTCCATCACACTTTTACAGCCCCCTGTCATCTTCAGATCACACATACTGTCACTCGTGTTGATTTTTGTTCTGAATATACATATCTCCATGTTGGCTGCGTACAAGGTAAACGTCCTACCCACTGTACTATGGCTCCAGCCACAGCGGTAGGGCATTTGCCTTGAGCACTGCTGGCCTGGCCAAGCAGGGTTGGATTCTTCCACCCCTCTTGGAGAGCCCGGCAAGCTACTGAGAGTATCTCGCATGCACGGCAAAGCCTGGCAAGCTCCCCATGACGTATTCGATATGCCAAACATAGTAACAACAAGTCTCACAATGGAGACATTACTGGGCCCACTCGAGCAAATTGATGAACAACGGGAGGATAGTGCTAGTGCATACATATCTCCTGTCTGACAGCATAACCCTGGACCTAGCATGACCTAGTTCTACAGCTTTCTGGAGTCAGATCTGAGTGTGGGTATTGCTCTGCCACTTCCAGTAGTGATCTCGAACAAGTCATTGAATCTTTGAGTCTTGCTGGTCCCATAACCCTACCTATCTCTATAGGCAGTGCCACAACTATACACCATGACAAGCAGATGATATAAAATTCTGCATAAAAGTCTCCTAAGAAGTGGTATAGCCACCTTGCTAGTACCCTGTTTAACCTCTGAGTCCCCCTGGGTAGCTTCATACCCTGGCTCTACCACCTACTCTCTGAGTCACCTTGTTTGAACAAATGAAAGCTCAGTGACTCCATCTTGATTTCTAAATGAAGATGATGGTGTGTGTGTGTGTGTGTGCAGAAAAAAATAATGATACATGTATTAAGAAGACAGGGACAAAAAAGATTTTTAAAAATTAGCTATCATTTTGTAAAGCATCCTTCATCCTCCTTTCAAGAGGTTGCTTGCTGTCTTTCCCTCTGGACAGACCTCCCCTACCCTTGGAGTCAGTGTCTTTGGTACTTTGCATTCCCTGAGCCTAATACTCTGCCTGGCATGTATGCTGGAATTAGTGCTCCTGCTGAATTCACTGGATTGGGTACCATGGGAAGTATGAAGAAGTTTAGAAGTGCAAAGGGGAGTTTTTTTTTTCCCCACTCTCCTCCCTGCAAAAGTGCAGGGACAACTTTGTAGAAAAGGGCCTTGCTGGCAAGAAAACAACAAATTGGGAAGCTTGATGTCTCAGCATCTAGCACCAAGCAGTAAGGGCCATAGAATGACCTCTCTCTATGTTCTTTCCCAGTTACTCTCTTCGTGTTGACCCTGGGAACCCCCACCTCTCCATATGGATACCAGAGAAACTGACCTTCCTGGGATTTTGCTTTGGGTCTGACATCTACTCCCCGTCAACTGCCAGAATGGCTAATAACTACCACATGAAGTTTAGAGACCTCCATCACACTTTTACAGTCCCCTGTCATATTCAGATCTCACATACTGTCACTTGTGTTGATTTTTGTTCTGAATATACATATCTCCTGTTTGACAGGATAAGCCTGGACCTAGCATGATGTAGTAGCTTTTCAGGAAAAAGAAAAAAACACCAAGCAGATTTATGAAGGGCAAAGGTGAATGTGCTCCATGGAGGTACATACAATGAACATACATCCTCCTTATTCGCATGCGTGGAAGATGGGGGAGGGAAAAGGTCAGCAGTGGAATGAGAAGAGCTCCATAGAACAGAACAGATTCCGCTGTAGGTGTGGCTACAGCCTCCACCCAGTCAAAGCTGAAAGGAAGTGACTTCTCCTGGAGGGGGTTTCGTCTCATCCTCCAAACTACCAGCCCACTTTTGCTTTCCTAACTTCACAGGGTCCTTCTAAGTTGGAGGGAGGGTGGGAGGTAAAGGGAAAAGACCTAAAATAGCAAAAAGTTGATGATCTGGTTGAGTTTCGGAAGGAACAGCTCAGGAAGAAGGAGAGCTTGGGGAACCCAACTCCACAAGAGAGAGAGAGAGAGAGGGTAAGGTTCTCCTGCCCTCCCCAGCACCCTCTGCCACTATAGCCACTCCTGGAATCAGGTTCCATGCAAGCATCCAACCGGCTCCTTGGTTGGGGAACTGGGGGTGTGAGACATTTGAGGGGTGGGGGAGTGTGAGACATTTGCGGGGCTGGACTGGAAGGCGCTTCAGTCTCACCTTCTCTGTCCCATAACCCCGCCTACCTCTGCCTCCCATCTGGTCCATCCTCAGGGACTCTCCTGTAGCGCCCCCCTACTCATCCAGCCTGGCCAACCCCTCAGCCCGTCTGACCTGGGCTGACCCCAGCGCCCGCAGGGTCGCGTCCAGCCTCGGCCCCGCGCCTCCCGCCTTCGACCACACCTCCCTGCGCAAGGGTTAACGGAGAGGAGAGGTTTGGCTGACGTCGCTGCCCTGAAGGTGGTTCCCGGGATGCGGCCGGGAGAGCCCAGCGCGCTGAAACCCGAGCCCCTGCTCAGCTGGGGTTTGGGGAGGTCCCAGTAAGAGGCGCCGGCCCCGAACTCCCTCGGTCGCTCCCGCCCCGGCTCCAGTCCCGTCCCGCGGCCACTCGGCACCGCGGCGCGCGCGCCATGGAGCTGGGCTGGTGCGCACAGCTGGGGCTCACTTTCCTGCAGCTCCTTCTCATCTCGTCCCTGCCGAGAGGTACTGTGAGTAGTATTGGGGCACCCCGCAGCCCCTACCCAGGAGCGTGGGGGCGGGGGGTGCTTTCTTTACAGGGTCTGGCAGGGAGCAGGTTTGGGGACTCCAAAGGTGGTGCTGGGGAGGAGGATGGTTCTGCAGGGCACCGTCCTGTGGGGTTTGGCTGGGATCTGACAGAGCCTGCCACCCTGCCTGAAAATGGGGTCCCGTTTTGTCACCCCCACATGTTGAGACTGGAATGCACCAGGCAGAAGACACCGACTCCGGTTGTATTGGCTTTAAAATTTTTGCTTTTTAAAAGCATAAACGTCCGTTTGGGTCTGAGCTACCCCACGCTGACGTTCAAGAGTCGAGTTTTCCTGGCAGAGCCCTCTAGGAACGAAGGGATGAGAGGCAACGGTTACAAGGAGCAGAGCTGGTGGCTTGCTCAGCTCGGGCTGGATTGTGGATTTTGCGGAATCTCCCTCCTCAACCACCCCCCCCTCCGCACCCCCCCCCAACCCCCCGCCCCTCGGCAGAGGAACTTTGCTCAGAAAACGTGTGCACGCTCTTCCTGGGAATGAATGGAGAAGAAATACCGGGGGTGGGGGGGGGGGGGGCGGGGGGGGGGAAGTCTCAAGTTGTTTCTGGAAACGCGCTGTGTTTGTTTAGAAAGGGATCTGGCTTCTGTATTTCTCACATAGTATTTGCTGACACTCACCCGCAGGTCAGCCGTGCTCTTGGGAACCTTTGCCCAGCAGTGGGCAGGAGGAGGGGCTGGTAGGCAGGAATCCGGGTCTTCCTGGGCACAGCTGTGCAGGTGTGGTGAGCCTTGGTGAGAGGGCACAAACCGAGGCGCACAGATCCCACAGAACAAAGCAGCTTTGCTCAGGGAGGCAGGGTGCCACCCTTAGCTAGTCCCTCCTATGCCTGTGACCTGTCACCCTTGCTCTGTCTGGATACTCTGTTGCTGCCACAATTCACTGACCACTATGTGTAGGGTTGGGCTGGGAGAGAAGGGGAGCTGGACCCTTAGGCATACCCCTTCATGATGAGCAAAGAGCTGAAATCTCTCTTGATTTACAGTCTTGCTAGAGAGTTTCAAGGAATTTTGCTTCTTGGGGGGTAGCCCAAAGACAATCTTGAAGGAAAAAGGAGCCCTGAGAATTCAGAGAGGCAATGTGTCCCCCCTGGGATACGAGGACAAGACTTCTCCAAGCTCCCTCTCAGCCTTGTGGGCCTGACTTGTCCATGGGCATCCCTAACCCACCCACACAGACAAGACTGTTTCCAGCAAGTGCTCCCAGAACTGGTCTCCCCCAGCTTCTGCTTCTGTTATTCCAGCCCAGGGGTGAGGGCACCAGCCCATAAACAACCAAACCCAGCTCTACTACCCCATGTTCCTTGCCCAGAGTCTGCAAAAGCCCTTGATTCCTGCCCTGAGAATCCTGTGTGCCTGTTGCTCAGGCAAAGCTGTAGGGAGCTCTGAGTGGTTTGGGGACAGCCAAGCTTCTGACTGAACTGGAGAGCAGCTTCTCACACCCAGCAAAGAGGCGATTTCAGGTTTGAGCATTGGCATGGACTGAATAGACAGAGGACAAAGAGTAAAGGAAAATATTTCTCTCACGAGTCCACTCCCGGCTGGAATCTGGGAGCTGGTTGCATGGAGAAAAGTTTGCAAGCTTTCATTTCTCCAAGTGCTTCTTCTTCTTTTTTTTTTATTTTTTCCTTTTTGCCTTTTGTCAAGAGTAGTTGATGACAAGGGAACACCCACCAGGTGGCACGGGCCACTGTTACTCATCCACACGGGACATGTGTTGGAAGACAAGGACATGTGTTGGAAAACAAGAACCCGAACAGGAAGCCAAGTGATAACAACATAAACAGCCTGTGCGGGAGAAACCCGACTCCAGGACTCCACCCCACAGGCAGAGTCCTGCTGACAGAGCCGCTGCTATGAAGAAAAACTCATTGAAGATATGGGCCCCAGGGGAATGAAGTCTTAATACGGATAACTTCACAAGTGTGACTTCCAGCAGACCTGAGCTTGTTGGGGGAAGGAACAAGAAGGCGACTAGGGGAAATGATTTGAAACACAGATTGTCACCAACCCAGAGCAGTCAGCTGAGGAAGGGAGTGTAGAAAGCAAGCCAAGGAGAAGGGGAGAGAAAGGAGACGTGGGCTTATAATGTGACATGTTGGCCAGTTCCAAGCAGAGGACTCTGACACTAGGGCCTTCCTGCCAGAGATGGGTTTTCTGGAGCTCCTGCAGAGGATACTTTCCTGCAAGCTATTTGGAGAGCCCCTTTCTTCTCCAATAGAAATAGAATTTAATGGTGACATGCCCTGTGGAGTTTGGGAGTGACTTTTGAGACCATTTGGTTTAAGCACAGGAGTTTCAGTGGACAATAAGAATAAACAATTATGGTTACCTGGGATGTGTTCAGTCTTTGAGCCAATGCTTTGCACATGTTCTCCCTTAGGCCACCTTGGGAAGACAGGGACTGTCAAGTTCCCTATTTTCTAGGTAAAGTTTAGAGAAGACTGGTGACCTGCCGTAGTAAACACAGATACAGTTCCTCAAAAAAAATTAAACATTGGATTCAGCCATTCCTCTTCTGGTACGAACACAGGAAGAAGCAAAAACAAGGGCTGAGACTGGTATATGTACTGGTATATGTCCAATGTACAACTGTTCATAGCAGCATTATTCCCAACAGCCAAAGGGTAAAAACCCAAATTGTACCTCTGTGGAAAAAATGAAATGTAATATACTACATGCAGTGAAGAAGCACTCAGTCTCAAAAAGGAATGACTTCTGGGGGCAGGATATGGCTCAAGTGTAAGACACCTGCATCACTGCATCACTGCTGCAAAGTCCTGAATTCTACTACACACACACACACACACACACACACACACACACACACACACACCCCTCCAGCATCTGGGTGATAGCAGGAAAAGAAATAACATTTTCACACATGCTACAACATGGATGGACTATAAAGTTATTAGGCTAAGAGAAACAAGCAGACACACAAAAAAAAGTATAAATTTTGCATATTCCCGCTTCTATTAGGCACTGGGGGTGGTTAAGGAAAATAAGGCAAAGCTTTGGTACTCAGTGACTGGGGTTGGGGGCAATGAAGGGGAGTTATATTGCTTAGAGTTGCAGAATGGGGGCTGGAGCAATAGCACAGCGGGTAGGGTGTTTGCCTTGCACGCAACCAACCCAGGTTTGATTCCCAGCATCCCATATGGTCCCCTGAGCACCGCCAGGGGGTAATTCCTGAGTGCAGAGCCAGGAGTAACCCCTGTGCATCGCTGGGTGTGACCCAAAAAGCAAATAAATAAATAAATAAATAAATAAATAAATAAATAAAAAAGAGTTGCAGAATGGAGGAAGGAATGATTCTGGACATGGATCATGGTGATTGGTGCACAAACCATTGAACTGTATGCTTGAAAAGTGACTGAAATGGTAAATAATATTTATGTCTTGTAATAACAATCGATTATAATAAAAGAATATTCAGGGAGAATATTCAGTAGAAGTCTGACTAATTCCTGCACTCAAGCTCATGTGGGACCTAGCTGACTTGAACTCACCCCTCTCACCCGTCCCAGCCCTTGTTTTTGCTTCTTCCTGTGTACATACCAGAAGAGGAATGGCTGGAGCCAATGCTTAATTTTTTGAGGAGCTGTATCTGTGTATACTAGGTCACCAATCTTCTCTAATTGGTCTGTGACTATAGGGTAGCAAGACATCCTTGCTAGCACCCCTTTTGGTAGCACCATTGCTCTCCTTTTGTGGGCTGTGGCAAAGAGGGCTGGAGGGCTGAAGGTTTGCAAGTTTGCAGCCTTGGGGTCCAAAGCCACAGGAGCAGTGAGGACACAGAGTTCATCAGTGTTTTGAATTTGAGTGCTGGGAGCCAGGCTGGGTCTGTTCCATGGCCTGAGAGCCCACTTCTCAACCCACAGGAATGTTCCCTGCTTGTCTGGTCCGAAGAGGCATTTGCATTTCCCCCTCCTTTGCAGAGAGGGACTATGAAGGAGAAAAGACTGGGTGCTGAGTACCTGAGAAACGCAGAGAATCCAGTTCTGCAGGGATGATGGAATGTTTAAAAGCAGGAACATAGCTATAGTTGCATATTTGTTTTGTGAAATATAATCTCACCTCCCTCTGTGACCTGCACCTCTTTAAAAATGCTTTGTTTCTACAAATGCCGTTGAAGAGGACCTTGGGTGGAAGCTGAGGTCTAGACTGAGTCAGTTATCTGGGGGCAGAGATTCTTTGGGCGTGTTTCCCAGTGACAGAGGTGACCTAGAGCATGGAGTCTCTCTCCTATGTCCAGTAGTCTTAGAAAGGGTGGGAGATTGGTAACTGCTGACTGGGCCTCTGGGTTTGACTCGCTGTTACCCACATCTGAGTTACAATGGCTAGACAAATGGCAGAGATAATGGTGTCTGGGGGACAGACAGATGGGCTCTATGTCAGCAAATTATTTCCATCTGGTTCACTGTGGGTACCAATCTCCATGACAGAGGAAACTCCTATGTCCCCAAGACAACTCCAGAAAGTACAATTGATTTGGGATGGGTGGGGAGGTGTTACTTGGGGAAAGTGCCATTTCAGTGATGAATAGACTAAGGCTGTACTCCCTTCCTACATAGAAGGGAGCATGTCACCCTCATCTGCACAAAGTTGCCCAGTTCCCTCTCTTGATGCCTTAGAACAGGGAGCGAAAGGCAATTTTCTGGTTTCTGAAGGTCGAGGAGCCAGAGCCAGCAGGACAGAAAGTCTCTCCAGTCCTGTTTCATGGTGGAAGAATTCTGCTTGTTTTAACTTCTACTTTAGATGACATGGTTACACAAGTGTTGCATGCATGGCTTTTATATGCAGAGTTACAGCACCCTCACTACCGCCAGCATGCCCACAGCCCTCACCCCTGTCTATGTTACCTCTAGAGGTCTTCATTCCTATTTCTGCCCCCTGCTCTGTCTCTTGATCAGTTTTGTAATCCAA